TGCGCGCGCGCCTCTCTGGCTGGCGCGCTCGGCTCCTGCTCGAAGGAATGGAAACCTGGGGAAGGGGCTTTCACCGCCCTGCCGTGTGATTGATTAGTCAGTCGCTGCTCTGCGTGGTTCGCTCTCCCCCTTTCGGAACCCCCTCAGGGGGCTCTGAGAAGAGGAGTTTTGGGGGGTGGGAGCACCTTCCTTCGCGTGATTCTCATTCCCAGCTCTGCCTTTGCCGCTGTGCTTTGCTGAGTGTAAAGTAAAGCCATAAAGTTTGGGGCAAAGTTCTGCCCCAAAGGGACTCTCAAAATCTTGTTTTTGACCTATTACATTATTATAATTGAAAGGGTTCCCTGAGGGGAGGTGGATTCGTGCCACTGCTGAGGCAGGGGAATAATGGAAGATTGCAACAAGGAAGAAAGTAGAAAGAAATAAAGTTTAGTATTCACCTTTCACAGATTGGAAAGTGGGCTGACCCTCAGAGGCAAGTGTGGCCTCGAAGGGCCAAGAAATGAGTATATTTAAGGGCCTTTGGGGTAAGGGGATTTTGGCCCAGAGGAGCGTCCAGGACTGCAGTTTTTGATGTTGATTGTAGTCACATGCGTCTTTGATTTTGAACCCTCAGGTGGTGGGATAGATGGGAGGAGACGGGAGGGGGTTTTCTTGCAAGAATTGCAGTCCACAAACTCCTGGACCAAAAGGTGGTGTGTTATCATTTCTATGGCTCTAATCTTTTGCATCTAATGGTGGGGTAGACTGCTGCTTGGCCTTCAGTAGAATGTCTGAACGCTTTGTAAAACCTGCCTATTGGAAATGTATCCATCTATGTCTAATCTGTGCTAGATTCAAAGCATGTCAGGGGTAAAATCTAAACAAAAATGGCTATGCTGAGACAAAGAGACTACGCTAAATAGGTATCTCCTTTCAATAGCAGTTAATGTTGGCCATGCTCAGTGTCTCAGCTTGTAATCCCAGCACTTTGGGAGGCCAAGGCAAGTGGATTGTCTGAGCCCTTGGGTTCGAAACCAGCCCAGGCAACTTGGCGAGACCTCTACAACAAATCAAAAATTAGCCAGGCGTGGTAGCACGCGCCTGTAGTTCCAGCTACTTGGAAGACTGAGGCGGAAGGATGGGTAGAGCCCAGCAGGTTGACACTACCAGCGCGCATGCCCTCCAGCACACCGGCTCCAGTGGTGCTGCGCCTCCCCTCTCCCCTCCATCCATCCACCCTCACCCTATCCGTGCTCTAACAATACTAATAAAAATTAACCTGAAAATGTAAAAAAAATAACAACAATAACGCAGGGCTGTTGTTCTTCTGGTTCCTGGAGCTGCAGCTTGCTTCCTTCGTAAAGTCAGTTTTCCTGGTCCAGACGGATCAGACATGTACTCCCAGTCTCGGAAGGCCAGTTGCACTTTGCTGTGATGCATCCAGAGGCCTACCTCAGCTACCTTTATTGCCGTGTGGGTGGACAAAATGACAGTAAACAGATCTCTCTAAAGAGGCCTTAAGGGCTAGGTGTTCCATTCCTTTACCCACACAGCATCTCCTGACTTCAAGGGGTGAGCATATGTGGCTAAGCTTATAGGTAACTGCTTTTTAACCCAATGATGTATAGTAGTGAGTACCATGCCAAGTGCCTGCATTTGTTGTCTCAGCAAGATTACCGACTTCTTTTAAGTTCCCCCTTATACCCTTAGTAATAGGGGGTGGATGCCTATAAAGAATTTCAAAAGGGGAGAACCCTGTCTACTTAGCGGGACTAGACCTAATTCTTTTTTTTTTTTGAGTTGGAATCTCACTCCGTTGCCCAGGCTGGAGTGCAGTGGCATGCTCACAGTCACCCCAGTGTCAACCTGCAGGGTTCCAACAATCCTTCTGCCTCAGCCTCCCAAGTAGCCAGAACTACAGGCGTGCGCCACCATACCTGGCTAATTTTTTTTTATTTATTTATTGTAGAGATAAGGGTCTCGCCAAGTTGCCTGGGCTGGTCTCGAACCTGCGTGCTCAGGCAATCCACTCACCTCAGCCTCCCAAAGTGCTGGGATTACAGGCCGAGCCACCAAGCCTGGCCTAGATCTAATTCTTAACAAAGCAATTGGCAACAGTTGATCCCAGCATAGGTTGGTTTCCTGACATAGTTTACTTAGCTGCAACTTTAGAGTCTAGTTCATTTGCTCCACCTTTCTGGAACTTTGAGGGCAATAGGCAGTGTATAATTTCCTTGTGATTCCTAAGTCTCTTGCCATTGACTGTATTACCTCAGCTACAAATGCTGGCCCATTGTCTGACCCTGTAGTGATTGAGACTCCAAATCGGGGAATGATTTCCTTTAGAGGCAATTGTGCCATTTCATGTGCCTTTTCTACCCAACCCGAGAAAGTACATACAAAAACTAAGAGATATTTGTAGCCTTTGACTCAGGGAGCTCAGTAAATTCCACAACTATATTTTCAAATAGAGCCCTTCCAACACTCTATATTCCCAGGGAGATTCTAGTCCTCTGCTGCAGATTATTTTGGTCACACATTTCCCATTGCTCACATACCGTCTAGACTATGCTGGAGAGTCGAGGAACATAAAAATGTCAGCCTTACATGGTCTCAAGGGCTGTGCGGCCTGTATGGGTATCCTGGTGAAATTACCTGATGAAAGTTGGGGCCAAAGCTTCAGGGATAGCGACTCCCCCATCCTCAAATTTCCACCATCCACTTGGAAGATAGTCTCCTTCCTCTGTTTTGAACTGTGTTTGCTCGTGCTGTGAATAATTGGGGTCCCATTCTGTCAACAGACTTGGGAATAATGCTGCAGCAAAAGTTGCCAGCTCCGTTGTTTCCTAGCAGGCTGCAAGTTTTGCCTCCCAGTCTGCCTTTCGGTTTCCCTGAGCAACTCTTGAGTCTCCCCTCTGGTGTCCCCCGCAGTGTGTAACTGCTGCTGTCTTAGGGGCCCGTACAGTATTTAACAGTCCAAGAATTTCTCTGCCATACTTTATGTGTTTGCCTCCTAAGCTAATCAGGCCCTTTTCCTTATATAGACCCCATGTGCATGGAGGGTGGTGAAGGCATATTTAGAGTCAGTGTATAGATTAACATTTAGTTCTACCAAGAGCTGGAGAGCTCATGTGGGCACAGTTAATTCTGTCTTCTGTGCAGAAGTCCCTTTTGGCAGAGGCTTTATCTCAATGGTGAAGTGCAGTGTTACTAGAGTATCCTGGAAACCATTCTCTTTTCCTTATGAAGCTGCTACCATCAGTAAAAATATTCCACATCAGGGTTCCTGAGAGGCCTGTTGAGTCAGGCCAGCTGGAGAATACCTCATCCGTGAACTCAATGCAATCATGACAGAGCTGGCCTGGCTTGGTGGACAGCAAGGTTGCAGGATTGAGAGTCCACACCACTTCTAAATGGATGCAAGGATTCTCACATAGCATTCCCTGGTATTTGACCATTTGGGCATTTGTCTGCCAGTACTGCCCCTTATATTTCATTAATGTCAACACCATATGTGGTACTTTGTTAGTTCCTGTCCCATAGTTAATTTGTCAGTCTCTGCCACTAGAAGTGGCAGCAAGTACCCACAGGCAAGGTGGCCAACCTTGGGAAACAGTGTCAAGCTGCTTGGAGATGTATGCTAAGGGGCGATGCTAGAACCCCAGCATTTGGGTTCGTGTTCATACAGGAAAAAAGGCCTAGATATGTTGGGGAGTCCCAAGTTAGGTGAACTAACAAGGGCCTGCTTAATTTCCTCAAAGGCCTTTTGTTGTGCTTATTCCCATAACGGTAGCTCCTGTTCTCCCTGCTTTGTGGCTTCATAGAGAGGCTTTGCCAGCATTAAGAAGTTAAGTACCCAAATTATTATTTTTTTTTTTTATTGGAGTCTCACTCCATCACCCAGGCTGGAGTGCAGTGGCACACTTACAGCCACCCCAGCATCAACCTGCAGCTGGGCTCCGGCAATCCTTCTGTCTCAGCCTTCCAAGTAGCTGCAACTACAGGTATGTGCTACCACACCCGGTTTAAGATATCCCAATTCTACAAAACCCTGCGGCTCCAAGAAATTCACGAACCTGATGTCTGGTGGTTGGAACTGAAATAGAGCTGACAGCCTGTTTTCTCTCTGG